CATACATGCAGAGAAGGCACGGCAAGTGCGGAAGCGGCAAGCACCGATGTGTTGTATTGCATCGACATCGAGTGCATTGTGCTGTAGCACATGCGGTCACGAGTGCCTGAGTCAAGCAGGCCTAGTGAGCCATGGTCGAGGCCACTCGGGACCACTACCGAAGCGACGACGGGTTCTGCAGAGAACGTAGGCAGAACCGGCGCAGCGTTTGGAAGTACGCTGCATTCGATTTACTAACCGCGTGCTTGCATGCTAGTTCTCTTTATTCCAGGTGGTGGGTTTGCAATCTTGTCCCAATGCTTTTCTTTCTCATATAAATATCTACCAGTACTCTACTCCATAAACTTGCACAACTCGCTTGAGCCAATTGTAGTTAATTTCGAGAACATTTTCGTGTTTGTGGCTTTTCCGTAAAATATACTTTCTGACCTCGTGAATTTATCTCGGATGCCTTTGTAAACCACTTATTTCATATGCACATTAATTTACCATTTATGTCACCGTTTCCTTATGCATTACTCGATTTATTTTCTTTGCATCTTTCTCTTAAGTGATTGGCTGTTGCTTGATTTCCCCGGTGTGGCTGCGCCTGATGTTCATGTTGACAAGGTGCCTATCTGTCTATTACCCACTACCTCGTCCATGCTGGCTCTAGGAGACAGTTGGTTGTTGCTGAAGGGGACGGGGTGCACGGTCCTTTTGGCCGTGTTATGATCAAAGAGTGGTTCCGTGCACTCAGTGTGGAGCGGACTGCGGTTCAGCCACCGCCTTGTGTGCGGTTGATTCCCAAATACAGCGTGCTTGTGTTTGCCTGTGAAGAAGTGCGGGCCGACTCCGTTGATGAAACTTGGCTCCCATTCACATGCCTTCCGGTCATATTCCTTCGGGTTTACACTGGATATAGGGTGGGTGGTGCAGCACAAACCACCCATGGTGCCTCTGTAGACGCAGGCGTTCTGTGACTGGCCGCAGTGACAGGCAAATCGGAAACCGGATGCCGCCAACCATATATATATATATATATATATATATATATATATATATATATATATATATATATATATATATATATATATAAGTCATCACGAAATCTTCGACGAAGCAGAGGGCGATGTTGAACGATTTTAAACTCTGCTTTAAGCTATATCTGGTGGCGCGTGACCAGTAGGTTTTTACCTACAAAGGCGTTAGCGGCATGCGTGTGCACGGAAAATTGGGGGCATGTTGTGCTACGTACAAATTGGCTGTAGCAAACCAGCAAGTAAAATGTCTTCGGCCATAGCCTAACGGTTCAGAGTAGTATTTTTTCTCTTTGCTTTTCCACTTTGTTTCTGACTTTGTTAGGCCAGTTATCCTCTGTTTCTTATAACACCAGCCATTCATTCACCGCATGCTCCGTCTCCAATGAGCAGGTGTGTCAAAGGCATCCAATTCGTCACAGTGTGCTGGTCACATATATCTTCCGTCTGGCTCCGTCTCTTACTAGGTGCTTGTGATGAAACTTTCCAACTGCCTACGAAGTGTCCGATTTGCATTTCTGCTCCCTGGGTATATTATGACCTGCGTCCGCGTTGGACTCGGAAGCCCTAGGAATCCTCGACCGATTAAATACTACACTGCGGAACACATTTGGGAGTTTTGACATATCCATCTTTACGATGACGCGCAGCTGTTACATGTGTCCCTACGTCGAATACGCTGTCCAAGCTTGGCAATCTTGATTGAAACGCGACCTGTATTAGCTGATGACATTGCAACGCAGGGCAACAAAGAACATCAAAGGCCTACGAAATCTGTCTTACCATCAATGGCTGAAGTTAATGGGAGTTTTCTGACGACGCTATCGAAGGGTACGTGGTGATCTCGTATCAGTGTAACAAATATTGTGTGACCCTAATCACGTATGCCACCACTTGCTGAAATTCAGTCATAACACCAACCTCAGAGGTAATTGCTTGAACCTAAGTGAGAAATACAGCTGTCTGGAAGGCCGTGGGAAGTTTGTCTCTTCGGTTTTGTAAATCTTGCAGCTCTACCAAACACAATTGTCTCCTACCTTAATTGGAATATTTTCAAAAATACGAAAAGTTGTTCCCCTTAGCCCCCATCACTTCGTTACCTACGTTGTGCTAATTTGGAGTATATTAATCATGCCCTCATACCGGATTAATGCGTCACATGGACCAAAGGAAGTGGTACATGACTTATCGTTCTTTTATTTCTTTTTCTCACGGAATACGTCCGCTATAACTGCCCCATGTTGTTTCGTTTGTTTACATTCAAATTCTATTTCAAGCTACTATTATTTAGTAGCGCTTTCGCTCGATAGACGCTTAAACAGACTACTCATACATTTTGTATTGTCGTTTTCAACCTAGCCATCCTAAGGGACTTGTCAACCAGTCACATTCTTCATGTGTTATATCATTGTTCATAGTACTAAGGGATTCTGATCGACCTTATTTTAGACCTATCTTGACACTTACTTTACTGAGAACGTCAGTGGCCCATCGGTTCTGCCCATGTAACTGGCTCTGCATTAACACACGAATTAGTGGACACTACGTGAATTGGTCCTACAGGCTGAGACTCCTTCGTTAAGTAATTTCTCTTAATGCAGCCGACGGGTCATCCACTCACTACCGTAATCACACCTGCAGTCACGGGTTTTCCAACATTCTATCCACAGAACTAATTGACTTAAAACGAAGTCCCTATTGCGCTGATACTTGGAAGCTACTGGCAGAAGGCTACAATCCCGTGTGACGTCGGGACGATTACTAAGCTCTACTCTTGTTAGAGCGACTGGTGTTTGCAGTCAATAGAATGGAGCTCGCAATTCTTTTGTGTAGTGCTGCAGTAGGTGTGGGAATTCCGTATGCACTTATGTGCTCCTAGATGAAGATAGCGGGCCAAGAAACTTGAGAACATACCTCAAACAGGTGAAATTTGCTTGTCAATGACAATTACAAGTTTATGGAGATCGGATTGGAAATCTGGTACTGAATGATTATGACATCTTACAAAATCTAAGACAAGAATTTATTGCAATACCTTTAGCAAGGTGTAGATCTCTTTCTAACAACTGTCTGTCAACCAGATTTAATATTTTATACAATTAAGGTTGAGTTTTTGAGCAAGCTATCTGCTGACAGGTAAAGGATTCGCGAGCGTTCACATGTGTTGTAGACACCGTTCTCTAGGCTGTTATCGGGTTGCTAGCGTGTACCATTTCTCTGATCATTTGCATGGTTATGTTCAATTTAAGTGAGTTTTTCTCTGCACCGAGTAGTACAAATCAAAGCCATTGTTTTCGATCAGCACTATGTGAACTTATTCCCTGGTCCTATAAGAGAGCATTCAAGACTATATACTGTACGGCAGGAATAAGTTGAGCTCCTCTACCTCCGACAGACGACTAAAAGTATTTAATTGATGAATCATTGTAGAAAGTACTCAAGAATCACTCCGATTTAGCTATTCGATGTATTAGGTTGATCATAAAGTTATAGCATTTTTGTTTTATTTATATTTTAACAGCTGTGTTTTAAATAATATTTATTAAGTTGCTTTCACATTGTATATCATTTGAAAGCCTGTTTTGCGTCATGGCTAACTATGTTGACAATTTAGCTCAGAAAAAGACTTTTGTATATTTACAGAACATTCAATGCTACATGGACGGACGGCAAATTCGCACCATTTTCTTGTACCACTTTAAACTTACTCGAAATGCAGCGGAAACATCCCATACTATCAACAGTGCACTTGGTGCTGGAACCACTAATAACTGCACTGCATAATGGTGGTTTCAGAACTTTCGGAAAGGTTACGAGAGGCTTGAATGTGAAGATCATTTTGGATGGCCATTGGAAGCGAACAGCAATCAATTATGGGTCTTAGTGAAAGCAGATTCGCGTAAAACTAATCGAGATCATGCTGCTAAATTAGCAGTATCGCATATGACAGTTTTAAACATTTGCGGGCGATTCGAATGTCATAAAGCTTGATAAGTTGGTACCGCACGAATTGAATGAAAATCGACGAACTCATAGTTTGGAGGTGTCGTCCACCCTTCTTCTGCGTAATAAAAACGAACCGTTTATCGATAGACTTGTGGCTTGCTATGTACAGTGGATCCATTACGACAATCGACGATGAACCTCTCAATGGTTGGACCACGGTCAGGCTCCACAACACTTCCCAAAGCCGAACTTGCTCTCTAAAAAGATGGTGGTGAATTTTCGACCGTCTGCGGATGGTCTGCTCCATCATAGTTTTCTGTGTCCAAGCGAAACCATTGTCAACCAATTGTCGAAATGCACCGAAGACTTCAACATAGGTGCTCAGCACTGGCAACATATGCGGGCCAATTCCTCTCCATGATAACGCTCGGTCGCACGTCATACAAACAACCCTGCGGAAGTAGCACGAGCTGGACTATGAGACTTCGCTTCGCCCCCCATAATCCCCTTACCTCTCACCTACCGATTACCACTTTTCCAAGCACCTGGATAACTTCCTACAAAAGAAAAGTTTTAAGACCCTAGGAGATGCTTAAACCGCCTTCTACGATTTCATCGTCACCAGAACTGCGGAATTCTATTTATCCGAAAAATAAACTTGTATTCCGTTGATATAAGTGTCAATCCAAATGGTTTTTGTATTTCGATAAAAATGTTACTTTTGAACCAAGATGTGCATTCAATGTTTAAGATTAAAAAGGCAAATAACTTTATCACCAACCTAATATTTATGTAAGTGTATATATTCAAGACCACATATGGATTTGACTAAAAATTCGAGTGGCCATGATCGCGTTGGCATTCTTTTACAGTATATTCTCACCAACGTATTCAGTACACATGTATGACTATAGTTCGCCATTTAGTCAACAGACCGTTATGATTGAGAATCAAACTCACCGGTTGAATTTGCGATGTTCGGTTTTCTTCCTTGAAAGCGTTACAGAGACCACATTGAGCTAGAGAGCACAAGTCATGAGTGATAGTCTCTTCGCCGTGAGTGCATTATATTGTCGGCTGATTGAACATTTCACCAACACGCCCACCCTCAGCGTTGACTTTATGTCGCCTTCAGCAGATGAACCACCCCTTGGTAATGCTGTGTGATGTGTCTTGTTTCTCACTGTCACTCTCTCAGAGAAACTTACTCAGATGGACCGAGCATAAGGGGTTCTTACACAAAGAGGACATGCAAACGGCGTACTTGTGAACGAAACGCGAGAAGGGCCAATCGGAGACTGGTCTTGGTTGACAGCTTATGAGGTCACTCGGACATTCGCACATGGTATTCCTGAAGTGTGTGTGTGTGTGTGGGTGTGTGCGCGGTGGGTCGGATAAAGTGGAACTCGCAGACTGCAGTATTAATGGTAACAAATTGCGCATAATTGATTTTTAAAATGGCCTCTTTACTAATAATCGCTACAGGGGGCTATCATCAGTTGCCTTGCTTTCCGTAGTTATTGTCGAATGAGCTGATAAGGCACACACACACACACACACACACACACTCCAGCACTATAGACTGCGCACTCATTGTGTACCGTAGTTCCCATTATGACTGGGAGGAATCAACTTATGTCAGAGCACTAGCCAATACCCATATGGGTTTACAAATGGGAGCTTGTACCGGCAATATACTACGTAGAATTGGAATCCTTTTGTCGTGTGCCCCGCGCTTCCCACACACACCTGTCTTGATTTGGTGTGTATTTTTCTGTTTGTTCAGAATCTCTCAGTTCGCAGACTTACTTTAAGAAGGTCAGACGGCACGGTAATTGATCATTTGAATGACAGACTCGCAACAATGGACTGTTAGCGCTGTAAATCGTGGTATCTGTTAGGGTCACCATTCCTGAGCATTATGGCTCTCTTTACTACCTTAAGGACTTAAGATCTTCAACAGAAGTGTTCACCGTCTAGTAACTTAGAGAACTATTTCTAATCTCTAATTGTTAATATTATATTGAAAACTGGTATTTCGGTAACTCTCAAAATTTGTCACATCGTGCACTAAGAAATAGCAGCGTTATTATTTCTCTTTACACTAGAAATTTGGGAATGGTCTATGGTGGAAGCCTCGTGCTGTTCCCGGTAAGTTTCTCTATGCGGCTAAATCAACTTCCTCTCGTGCTATCTGTGACCGATTTGCTTGAAAATTCTCAACAGTTGAAGCATTGGTTGCGTTAGGCAGGCGATTGGCTTGCAAACAAGCTGTGTTGTTTTCAGTCTCATCGGAATGGTTTATGTGGATCGGTTGTCACGTACACCCCGCAAAACGCAGTCAAGAACCAGATATCCTACTCCGCACTACAGCAACTCTCGCCCCAGGAATTTAACATGATGTCAACCTCGTTCCGCAAAGAAATGGATGAAAGAATACATCGGAACTGGTGGACTTTTATCATACTCTCACTTTCCGAAATTTCGATTACATTGTACTTTCTAACCTGTTGTACATGGATTGTAACTCAATTGTTAAATCTCAGTTATACTCAAAATCGTATGTCTCGTGAAAGTGTGGACATACTTTAATGTCTCCTACTATCCTTATCATTGTCAGAAACAGTAGGATGCAAAATAAATTTCTTAATGTCTTCAGTTTTCCCTGGCTACTCCTCGTACGGACACATGGCAAGTGTTAAATCACCTGCATACCCTTTTGGGTCCTTGGTACCAACAACATACCTTTGTTGTTTGAGTTATCTAGGCATTTAACATTGGACAGCTATCTGATGGTTCTACTAGTATGATTCGGTCATCATGTACCGAAAACAACTTGTTCTGTGTTAGACAGTCTTGAGTTTAATGCTCTAAGATGGCACCTGTCTCGGACGGTTCCTTTATACTTACTGCTTTCATTCCTGTGATTAACTTTGAAATGAGATTACTCTACCCTACTTTTAACAAGCGTTTAAGCAGACAACTCGAACAACTTATGTAAATGTAGCGCATTTTTGCGGACAGACGTTTCGTCTATAGGACTAGTAAATACTAGTCCGGGACGGTGTGTGTACTCGAGCGCGGATACCAGCAGACAGATGACACCATCAGTGCAGCAGTGACGGCAGTTTCGCATCAGGAGCTGGTGGCAAGCAAAATTGGAAAACTGTTAACACAACAGTTGTAATTCACAGTTCATCTCCATTCGAACGTTTTCCGCTACCTAAATGAGTTAGTTATGTTGACTGCGCCCCAGGAGCATTATGGTCATGTGAATTAGCAGGGATTCAGTTATCATCTACCCTGACAATCGCACTGTGTGAAGTTTACCATTTAACGGAGATGCCAATTAATTCCACATTGCACAACATTTCACCTATAAGCTCGTGAACTGACGCCACTTGTACGCCCAAACGTAAGCACAAATGGTCCGTTATGCTTACTAGCTGTACGGCCAAGCTGCGGCTTCGATCTGGCCTAATCACACCAATCAACAGCGTCTAAGTGCTGTTCGGATTATTCAAAATGAACAAGTAAGGTATACAAAAATAATGTCAGATACAAAATATCCGGTTTAGTTTCCGCACCGATCTATTCTACTCCTCATTTCGGTTGGACGGGCGTCCAGAAATATTGCTCAATGATCAAGCGGCTCTGATGCACCGGTAACAGACAGGTAGATAATTACCGGGGTGCGACGTGGAAACAAAATTCCTTTTCCTCTAACTCCCTTTTTTCTTTGTGGCTGCTGTAATGTTGCGATTATCAAGCGGACAAGGATCTCATCTTAGTTGATGGAAAACACTTTCTTGTTTTGTTAACGAATTTCTTCACAGTTCTTGATTTCTGCCGGTTTTCAAAAGGTTTACATTCGGAAAGTTGGTGAGCCCAAATACACAACTATGCGTTGCGCAGTTTGGGATTCTCCAGCGCATTGTTTTATTAATTTTTCTCTTTATGATTATGTGCGAGATGAGCCATGTGTTATCATTTCGACTAACAAGACTACAAAATTTCCCGGAACATTTTATGTCGGTACTCTCAACCGCCAGGGATCAATCCGATGGAATGAAGAAACTCACATCAGGACGCGCCGTACTCTCGTTACAAAAGAACTTTGATCGATTTATGACCGTTGTAAATTCCTTCCTGTTTGATCGACAACCAGTGTTGAGCGCGTGGTCCGTCGTCTTGCCTGTGTTCCTCATCCTACGCACGCTACAACGCTCTGAATGAGTTTGCGATCGGAACACCGAGCTCGAGCATGAGGAATCACCAATACGGCTACTTTCACCATTGTTCAAAAAAGATTTATTACCATAGCATCCTGTCACAATGTGCGTTCTGTTCGACAAAATGCGACAGTAAGGGGCGCTGCACTATACGCGTGAGGCAGGTGCAATAACTCCTTGAGCAAGTTAGTATGCTAATGAAGATGTGGGGTGGGATGACCAGCTGCTCATACTGGGATGGAAGAACACACTCATTCGTCGATGTTTTCAGAAAATCGCTTAGCGTGTCGGAGCTTTGGAAAGTCGACCAAGCATTTTATACATAACGTAGCCGATAGCTAAACTAACGCAATCGGGGAACAGTTTCGTGTGTGTTCGAACATTATATATAATTGCGGGGATTTGGTGTGGGACTGATACCGCTCCAACTGCGAACTAAGATTGATTTAGGTGAATTAATGTTTCACTTACGTGTTACACACCAGTAAACATGTTTATCTGCGAAAGTGCGACACAGGTACAGGTAATAAGTTCCTTAGAGCACGGAATCAGTTTGAATATATTCCAGCATACTAATTAACCATTGTTTTGTATAGTACCACGTGTTTCCATCGACAAAACTTCACATTGTCGGGTTGTATACAACTCAAACCTTTACGGACACTTTGGTGTTGCTACGCATACATCAGACTTCCGCATGAGTGCCAACGAAGGGAACCTATTTACTCTGTTATTGCATTTAACTGCAGCAGATGAACTCTTGAGGACAACCGGGGCTTGTTTGCGTGAAAATGTTTTTTTCCACTTAAGTAAGAGATTCCTGACAAGCAAACATCCACAGTTCTTGCTGCTCTTGCGTTCCTGCTATAAACATTACTAATTTCGTAAATTCTAGCCGCAATCTTTTTCTACGCGATTGTTTGTTCCGCTTCATCGTTTGAATATATTGTATACACCCTCCCACTTTTGCTCACCAGAACTGCATTCTTTTTCTTTCTGAACACATATCCGCTGTTCAGTTTGCAGTGAATCACCTTTGTCCTTATGCCTCAGTCAGTGCTAAGCAGTGACCCGTAGTTTCGGGCTCCTCTTATATCTGGGCGCGATCCAATTACCTTTACACGCAGTGGTTGCTTGACGTTAACTCTTGACTGCAAATACTCCTTAGACATTTGAATAATGATCTCCGCAGCTACTTTGTCTGACACATCTCTCTAACACTATACCTAACTTCCGCTTCTACAAAACACAAGCGACACTCACATGCAACTACAGCTTCCATTAAACGATTATTCTATTCAGTTTTCCGAGACACAGCTGATCATGATCAACGAACACAGCAGGTGCATAACGAATCAGCAGTAGCTTGCACCTTTCCGACTGCAGTTGTAAACGAGGTGTTTGTGACATTTGGCAAATAAAGTGTTGTTGTCGTGCCGCACTTTCTATTTTATCGGAATGATTTGTTGAACAGATGAATCAGCGTCGACGAACTTGCTTTGCCATAATGCTTTGTGTTAAAGCTGTTGATATTTTGTGAGCCACCTGTGAATGGATCCTAACCTTCTGATTGCTTAGAATTGCTCAGCTCAGTCTAAGCCATCACATCGAGTCACTTTCTACCGGAAAGTCCTGCGCCAAATGTGCTGGTTGTGTAGGAGTGGACGCCCTGCAACTCACGCTGAAACGTCATAGGTTTCGGGAAGACCACTGTTGCATCCTGTCTAGGTCAACTGATGATCAGCATCCGTTTTGCTCCCTCAAACTATCTTGGAACCGTTCGAATAGTGTGAGTAGTTTGAAGCGATTGTTTAAGTGACTTCAATTGATGGCTACATCGAACGGCTCCTCAGTAAACTTACCGAAATTCGCTTACGTCAGGTTTCGAATGCTTGGGACCTAATTTCTACTACAGAAACCATTTTTCACCAAGAGGTAACTGATGCTGAGGTTGAGATAGCCAGAATATCACTCATCCGGAATGACCGCCCAAGCAGAGGAGGTGGGATCCTACTCTACTACCGCAGAGACCTGCAATGTGCAATGGTTGATCATCTGGCAACTCACGTTACCGACTCACTGTGTTGCCTTCTCCGACTAAGACACAAAGACGCATGTCTCATACCTGTCATTTATCGCTCCCAAACGTCCACTTCGGAAATGGATTCTCGCTTGATACGTGTCCTGAACAGAGTAACACGCACTAAGTACAGTCACATTCTCATCTCCAGGGACTTCAATCTACACAATCTGCAGATATTGGCAATACCCAGTGTACAGTTAAGAGCAGACTTGAATGAACTGATCGCTAATATTCCCTTGTACAATCATGTCACCAAGCCCACTAGATTCAGGACAGCAAACAGACCGTCCATATTGAACTTTATCCTCACGAATGAAGAGCACATGGTTGACAAGTTATTGATAAATAGTCCATTTGGTCTCACTGACTACGTACTAATAACGTTCAACTATGTGTTACGCAGCGTATCCATCTGAACACTAGGTACTAACTCATACAATCAATCACATGCTACCACGCCTTGAAAGAACTCGTTGACGCTTCTGCCTCTAATTCTTAACCAACAGTCCCCTTGACAACGTTTGGCGAGTAGGTTGATAGACTCAGCGACGTCGTCAACAGAGCATCAGAGACTAAACCCCTTCGTCCCGCAAAAATGCCTTCAGTTCTAAGGAGCAGAACTCGAAAATGCATGGCGATGAGGGATGCAGCACTGCGTACCTCAGAGCTTAACCCCGACTCAGAGACTTGGTGCAATTTCTTTACCCATCGCAACCATTTCACTGCACTTGTCCGTGAGAACAAAGTATCTTATCAAAAGCGTCTAGCCGAAAAATTCCTGGCAGACGACAAACTGCTGTATAGGCATGTCAACAATTTTCCTACAATGAAGCATGGCATACTTCCACTGTTCATAACAAGCGGTGGAGTACAAGGCGCCGAAGAAGCAGTTAATGTCCTACGACTACAATACGCCCCAATTTACAAAGTTGCAGCCCCTAACTGTCTCATAATGTCATGCACATTACCGACTCCATTGTTTACACATGTAATCTTCAACCCATCAACTGTGTTAACGAAGTTACTCCTACTGCACGATCCTAGCTATCCGGGAGCCGAGAACATCCGCCCGAAAACACTG